TATATTATAAGTTATTTAATTTAAATATTTAGCTTATATTATGCTTTCTTTTGTAGGTGCATATTCGGCCACATGATGGGAGCTGACTTAAAGCTAGCATTGGAGTCCAAGAGCAATGGAAACTTGACTAGGACAACTCCGGGACATCTCAAGAACATTTTGGGACAAAGTTGCCAGCTGAGCCCCGAGCTCATAGCTCACTTGAGATGGACTTTTGAGCTAGCTAGAGACCTCATTTCAGCTGGAGAGTTGCACCATCATCATCACCATACAGAACATTACAAATATGGTCTAGATCAAATTTTGTGGATTCGTACCTTTTTGCGAGGAGTTGTCATTCCGAGAAGTGTCTTTTCATAAGGAGCTGTCCTAAGACTCACATACATGTAATTCATCTTTGGCCAGCTTATCTTCAACTCAAACACATGGAAAGTAGCTCAAATGATGAAAGGTCACCTTCCACAAATGTGAATTTTCATGACAAGTTGCTGCCCATTGAAGACCATGACACCTAGATGCACGTTGGAAGCTAAGTCACACGTAGTTGCTACCTATCTTCATTCCATGGACTTCAAGACATCATCCTATGGTTACAACCTCACCAAAGCCTTGCAAGAAGACCCATGTGTGTTCAAGTAGGCTTCCATGTGCACTCCATGTGACATCAAATAGGCGCCAAAACACCAAGGGATGCTTCCTATTCGGCTAAAGACTCTTTCCTCTTCATTTTGGCGCCCAGATAACTTCCAAATGCATTCAAATCATCCTTAGGGCCGAACCAACACATACCCATTCGGACAAGAGCATGTATCTTCATTTAAATCATGTATTTTCAAAGGGTTTCAACCTTGGCCGAACCATCAAGTATCTTTTCGGCCTAAACCCTTTGAAAACTATAAATAGGCTATGCATTTCATTTGTAACTAAATCCTTTGAAAAATTAAAACTCTTGTGAGATTATTCTCTCTTCAAGTTTTTTTAGAACTATATCGATTAAGCAAGCTTTTCTAAAGTTTGTGGCGTCAATCCCTTCCTTGATACTTCTGGTTCCTAGTTCATATTACTAGTGGGTCAAAGTCCTTGCTACCATCCCTTATAAAACTTATAAGAAACGGGTCTTTGTTCTTTATAACATTGGTTCCTTCTTAGTTTTATAAGATACTATTTCCTTCACCATTATCTATCACTTTCACGCCAACTCTATCACCATCCCATTACCATATTCATCACCATTCCTTAACCATTGAATTATCCATCAACATTCATCAAGAATCACGTGCATCATCACCAATGGTGACTGAATTCAACAACATTTGAAGGACAATTCAACAACACTTCCGCAGCCCATCTTTGATAACATTTCTATCCATTTCAATTCTTATCATTTCCTTTATTCTTCCATTTCTTATTTATGTTTCCATCTTAATCATTTCTTTCTTTAATTTTTGCAGATTACTTATCAATTCAAAGTGTAACATTATGGTGTCTCTCCTAGATCGAGAAACAACAAGGTTGCCAACTTCTCCATTATTAAAGAAGCTTGGTTAGCCTTACATCAAATGGTGTAATTTTATAGTTTTGTGTTTTATTATTCCTGAAACCATTAAACAATTCATTAGTATTCCAAAACATATGAAGGGCCGAGAAAGCAACAGAAAGTTAAGAAAACCCTGATTATCGAGTTATGTGAGATCTGCAGAAAAACACTACAGCACTACCAAACCAAATTCCTCTTGGATCAAAATATTTTTCATTTTCTGGCTATTCACATCTCTTTCATCATTCCTTGAGTTCCCCTCCATCTCCTACAATTTGCAATATTTTTATTCCACATTTATTTGGTTTATTTTTACTCGAGATCGATAGAGTATGAGAATTCGAAAGAACGCGAAGCTATCGTCGCTGGTAAACCCGACGGGTTCGAGGGCTGAGAGTGTGCACGTGTACGAGATGAACCAATCGTCATGAGATGTGGTTCCTTTCGCTCAAGACCCATACCCATCGTATCTTCATCACCAGGTAACAAAACACTCTTTTGTTTCTCTTATTTGCTGTTTCGAAAGAATTTGGTTCGTCCTTTGTGGCAGATCTAGTTGCTCCTTCTTCTCCCTTTGCCTTCATTTTATGTTTCTTTGTCTGACATTTTCATCTGCATATCCCCTCATTTCTCTTTTAGGATTTTCCCATCTAGGGTTTCGATAAAACCCTAAATTCTCTCCTTCTCATTGTGTATTTTCTTCGGAATAGTCGATTTAGGTTAATGGGTGTTTGTCATTAAGTTCTGCGTATTATTTTTCTGGTTCGAGTTTTTAGTTGCTTGCTAGCTTCGTTTATTGCTTCTTCTTTTTTTCTAAAAACCCAGTTCAAACCTGAAGATAGCTTTCATGGAAATGGGAGCTTAGGCGATTCTATTGGTGTTGTCGAGAGGTAATCCACTTAAAAAACTTAAAATACCAATCAAATGGTAACAACGATCCTACGTGGACTAAAAAACTTAAAAAAAAGTCGTCCATGTCATCGCCGTCACGACATTGGAATGCCATGTCATCGTGCCGTTAATGGATTAACGGCGGAGTGGAAAAATTGCAGTGAAACATAAACGTCCGTGCTAAAATTGACAAAATTAAAACGTTAGTGACATTTTCGATCAGCATAAAGATGAGTAGTATTTGAAATAAATTACCCTTATATTAATCTATCTTTCTTTAGTCAATCTCAGAACAACACGATCCATCGTCTGAAACAAAATTGGAATGATGAGGTATGAAAGCAAATTTCAAAAAGTGCAAAGGACAGAGTATAAAACAGAATCGGAATAGGAAAAAGAATATTTGGGGGGCTGGGCTGCTGCTTGCAGCAATGCATGACAAGTTTCATCTCTGATCAGAAAACACTTCTATGGCCCCTTAGCATCGTAGGTCAAGGTTGACGTAAACAAATCCACTAACTACATATATATATATATATATATATATATATATATATATATATATATATATATATATATAAGCTATCTCTACAACGTTCAAGTAGCTGCCTGCATTGCAACAGCACGACATATAATATATTATAAAAGAGAAACAAAGACCAATTGGAAATGAGAAAGCGGAAGGAATCAGAAAAAGAAAACATCCCAAAACTAGAACTGAACATCAGTCCTTTAATAAACTTAAACATGACAAGAAAACATCAGTCCCAAAACAATTTCACGTCATGTCACTGAGGGGGTTTCACGTACTTCAAAGAAGGACCGGTTTTTGACGATAATGTCGTACATATGTTGGGACCTCAAATGGGCGAAATTTATGGGGAGTGAAATGAGGTGAGCCGAGTTCTCTGATTTGTGGAATTGGAGAATGTGAGGTTGGCTGGAGCTGTAATATCGAGTCCAGCCGAGTTCAGCCAATCGCAGCTCGAGCTCGGTATAGGATTTGATGACATTATTGGTTGGGAGGTAGACCACGACCCGTGGTCGAGCCCCTGGTGGGGTCGAGGTTCCGGGATAAATCGGATCTTTTTGCTCGAAGGATTCTCTGGTAGGATTGGATATCAAGCGAGCCACACCTTTCTTGTCGAATAGCCACACACCAGACATAGTCGGAGAGACAACGTCGATTAGCCTGACTGATGGCAGTTAAATGGGTGCCATCTTTATAGGACGATTGCGACAACAAGTGTATAGAGTGCGACGGATGAGTATTCTTATACTAGACTAAACAAGGTGTAAGTTGAATCCAAATCACTGACCTAACTTTCCCAATTAAATTTCATCATTTTCAACACACTACCATCAATATACCATATGAATAAATGATTAAAAAATGTCGGTAACACCAATATATGAAATCGAAATCCAAAATCGTTGATGGTATTCTTAGATATATATTAGGTATAGCAGTACAGAGGTAGGCTAATGTCGGGATAGTTGATTGAATCATACACAAAAATGAATATTTTGCCTTATTAGTTTAATGGATTATACGTAGGATTAAAGGTATGTTGGTATGGATCAAAATCAGGTGTCAAGTAGGCTGGTTGCGTAAGCCCCATTCCATCTTACAATCAGCTACTCAACTCACCCAACTTTGTACATAAATATTCAACCTCAAATGCATGCCAAATGCCACCACCCACAGGGATATTAGATTTGGAGAGCTTTCTCTGCCACAAAAGTAAAATATTTTATGATTTTGATCCATAATATTCTTGTTTCTTCAATTCATCATCCGTTTTAAGTTCATTTTTACCAAATTTGAACCACGTGCCTCTCAACCACTATAAAATATATTTGTAATTATAATTCATCTTTCTTTCTTTTCTATTTAGTCCCTCAACTTTTCATTTTGTTTACTTTGGTTTTGGTCTTTCTACTATGTTCATATTTGAGGCTTATCTGCTATGCTTTTATTTGCTTAGTTTGATCTTATATTTTTATTATGACATTAGTTAGTCCAAATAGTTAGCACGGTTAGCTATTCCAATTAAGATGTTGATGTAGATTTTTGTTAAAATAACATCCCTTTTAACATACACACAAAAACATAAGATAATCAGTGAGATGAAAGGAGTATTTTTTTTCAAAAAAATCCACGTCGGTATTTTAACTGAAACAACTAATGTTAGTTATATGAACTAACTAATGATATTTTAAAAGTAAAGGCCACATTATATCAAATCAAAGTATATAGACTAAATCTCAATTTTAAGCATAGTAAAGGGCCCAAAAAGATCAACTTAGCCTTCCAGATAAGTAAAAAATCTTGTGCCCCTAGCAACTTTTTTTCTAATGATCTAAGCTGCCCTCCATAACAAAGTCAACTTCCCCGGAAGCTTCACTTTGAAACCTCAAAGCTTGAACTTTAGAATTGAAGATCCACCTTCATGTTTTGTTCCTGCAAAATTCTTTCAATTTTAGCCTCTTTCATGAATTTGACCATCAACAAGACTTCTTCTTTAGGTTTCTATGGATACACTTTTCCAGGATTTTCCTAGTTCCATGTATGGATTCAAATTTGATCGCCGAGAGTCAGGAGTCTAACATCGGTTCATCTTCATCGTCAGGTATTCATTCAGATGCACCTCCTCTTGATAATAATCCTTTCGCCAATGAAATGCTAAAATATATAAAGGGGTTGCTAATGGAGGAAGATCTTGAAAAAAAGACCTGCATGTTGCAGGATTGCTTTGCTCTCCAAGCTGCTGAAATATCCTTCTATGAAGTCCTCGGCCATTATTATAATCTCACTCAGAGCAGTTAAAAAAAGTGAATCAACTCCTTTTACAGTCGAATTTCTCTTGGAAGAACCTCTTTGTTTCTAGATTTACAAAGAAAATCCATTAAAAAGCTTGGAGAAGCTAGTAAATCATCATCTGTCAATGTTGATGAGGTGTTTTCGGCTACTTAAAGTGACCCATCAAAGCCTCCAGGGTCAACAGGAAGAAAAAATTATGAGCGTGAGGATGTGGAAGAAGGTAGGATCAACAAGCAATCTGCACTTTCTCTTGAGGACTCAGAGCAGTTGCAGTCTAAAATGTTCGATGATGTACTGCTTGCGAAGGTGAAAATGAGGACTCTCCATAGTGTTCTCTTAGTCGGAACTTGCAGCGGATAAAAGGGTCTAATGGCGGTGGAATTACACGTTGGAAGAAGAAAGCCCAGAAGAAAAGTGAAGTGGTGGATCTATGGAGTCTTCTTACTCAATCTGCACAATCGGTGGCCATAAAAGACCAAAGGACTGCCAATGAGCTTCTGAAACAAATAAGCCAATTCTGGAGATTAGCATGTTACTTTGCTGATGCCCTTAAGACACGTTTGGCTGTTATGGGGGAACCATTGTATTCGCATCTGCTGGGCAACAGCACATTAGCTGCTGATGTCTTAAAAGCTTATGGACTTTGTAATTTAGCCTGCGCCTTTAAGAAGATAAATTTGTATGCAAATAAAATGATAATGGAGATGGCTGAAAAGGCAACCACGCTCCACATTGTTGATTATGGCATTTGCTACGGGTTTCAATGGCTTTGTCTCATCCAGCGCAGGCTGGCGGCTTTGTATTATCGGTATCGAGTTTCGGCAACCAGGTTTCCGACCTGCAGAAAGGGTGGAAGAGTCAGGGTGTCGATTGAACAGGTAATTGTGAGAGATTCAATGTTCGAGTACAACGTGATAGCAAAGAAATGGAAAGCCATCCAACTTGAGGAACTAAAGATTAAGAAATATGTTGTTCTTCATTCACCTATCTTTTCTTCATTCATCTTACCTTATTTCTTCAATCTTTTGATCTTATGTATTTCTTAAAATTTATAAAAAAAAAAATCATAAGAATTGATAAAAGTTGGTACTACCCGAGCAAAATTTCCATTTCAGCTTTTTTCTTTTTAATGTTTGTTCTTCATTCACCTATCTTTTCTTCGTTGTCTTTTACATCATGCGACTATTCAGTTTTCGACAAGCTGCAAACTACTTGATCACGATCTTTGCATCTTTCTTTCCGTAAACAACTAATCAGTGATGTACATACGCCATTTAGTAGGATACAAGAAAGAAGACTTTCTTCTTCTTTTTCATCTTCTTCCATTGTTTTATCAGATTTTTTTGCATCTTCCTTCCTTTTAACATCTGAAGTTAATGATTTCATCAATGCATCTTCTTCTACTACTTCATCACTATTTATAAGTTTATTTTTTAGTCTTTATTCATGGAACAATCAATGTTTAATATAAAACACGTCGAAGAAACCTAACTTTCTTAATAAAAGACTCAACAAACCAATATCTTATGACTTATTTCAGCTCTAATAATCATGTGCAACTCAACCGAATTTTAATAATAATACATACTGAATAACACATGAAAGGATTTGAACTTATGACATCTGAAATATAAAGGATTCATGGGGAATCAAGACGCGAATTAGGTAAAATAATTCAAAATATGGGAATATGAGTTTTATTAAAATAATATTAATTTAATTTAAAAAAATAGGAGCTGAGTAATTGGGTAGTCAAGTACTCATTTAAAAGAGAAATATCTAATAAATTTTAGTCAAATTGACATGTCAACATATTAAGTATCATGTGTTAAATGATTTTTAACCCTAATATCCTTAAATCCCAATCCATTAAGCCTATCTATCACCGTGGAATGAACCACCATTGCCCATCCTATCAGTCATCGAACCATACTAGTTGATCACCTTCACTTTGCGTCACATAGAATCTCTAAATCCAAAACTATAAACCCCTAAATTAATTAATTTCTAAAAAACCTATAAATTCTTCAATCAAAATATATTAAATCCCTTCTTCTATTGTTGGGAATCAATTACCAATATCCATTTTTTTATTATTAGATCTCCACTATCAATTACCATATTCTCATGTCCCTAATAAATCGATGGACGAGACACCATGAAATCAATGATAAATAATTTTTGTCGATGTGCATCAATGAACGATATATCATTCTCTTATCGATGCACAACGCAAGGATAATTTATATTTTATAGTGAGATAAGAGAAGGAGACTCATGAATTGTTAATTATTGTGACGACAAATGACATTTTCCGACTACGTATAACGGGAGGAATAAAAGATTCTAGGGTTTTGTCTTTAAAAAATAAAATACTCGAGAAGTTTTTAAGAGAAATTAAGAATATTAAGGTTTTTCAAAATTAAAAATTATAAGTTTTTTAAATAAAAAAAATTAAATAAAACTAGAAATCAGACTTGAAAAATCAGGTTATTTGATAGAAATGTACTTGAAAAAGGAAACAACGTGCACTGAATTCTGAAGTGCACCACTTACTCTCAAGTAGAGGAGTTTTAACTGTGCTTGACATTATCCTAACAAGTGAAAAAGAACAAAGATGAGGAGAGTAAGATCCAGGCAAATATCTAAAGGCGTTCATGTAATGAAAACACACACATCCCATGTGAACAAAAAAAAAAGTAACCCCAAAAGGAGTAACTCAGATATTTAACTAAGATGAGCTTAGAGTTACCATTGCTGAGAATAATAAAAATGGTTGTTTTGGGAAATAATGAATCTTTTTAATAGTAAGGAAATAATGAATTTATGAATACGTGATAATGATAAAAAACATTTTTTATTACTGTCTTTAATCCTAATTTTTCTGAATTGTAACAAAACCCTAAAAGGGTTATTGTAAGAAACAATCGCCGCTTGATTTGATCTCAGCCGTCTACTCTTTCTCTATATATCTTTATACTTATTTTACTCTCTTCATTGATCTCAGCTTCCAACTAAAAAAAAAAGAGAAAGCTTTCTTCTTTCTCCATGCTATACTGCTTTGTTTTTAGCTCTATTTTTACTTTTGTTCCTGTTTTTTTTTAACTAGGAAATGATGGTTTTCTCATATAGTTATTGTTGGCTGATTTGTCATATCCAAATTTGAGGAATATAGAAAATTTGGGTACTTTGTTATTCTTGTTTTCTTAGTTTGATTATTGGGGAGGTAGGGTTTTATGCTGTTTTGAGGTTATAGAGATTAAAGTTTTTGATCTTTGACACATTTGGTAGCTTAAAGTGAGAATCTTTAGCTTGTAAATACTGATTTTAGGGTATTGGTGTATGAAAAAATGGGCCTTTCGTGTTTAGAGGCTGATAATTGATTTGGGGAGCTTTGATCAGAGGTTAATGACCATTTAGGGTTTTTTGAAGAATGTTATCTGAACTGGATAGGAGACCAATGATAGGAAATAGTGAAGGGTCATTTGGGGATGATTTGGAAAACGAGATAGGATTATTACTCCGTGAACAGCATAGTAGGCAAGAGGCTGATGAACTTGAACTCGAGCTAAACTTGTATAGAAGTGGCTCTGCACCTCCTACCGTTGAGGGTTCACTGAGTGCGGTTGGCGGTTTGTTTGGGGGTGAAGCTGGTGGTGGTTTCGCCGCTACATCCTTTTCAGCTTTTGCTGGAGCTAAAAATGGAAATGGGTTTGCATCTGAGGAAGAACTCAGGTCTGATCCAGCTTACCATTCATACTACTACTCAAATGTGAATCTTAACCCAAGGCTCCCACCTCCTTTGCTTTCCAAAGAGGATTGGAAGTTTGCCCAGAGGTTGAAGGGAGAGAATTTGGCTATAGGTGGGATTGGAGAGAGGAGGAAAGTGAATAGGGCTGATAATGGTAGCGGTAGCTCGTTGTTTTCGATGCCACCAGGGTTTGATTCCAGGAAACAAGAGAATGAAGTAGATGCTGAGAAAATGCATAGCTCTGCAGACTGGGGTGGCGATGGACTGATTGGTTTGTCCGGTATAGGACTTGGAAGTAAACAGAAAAGCTTCGCCGAGATCTTTCAGGTTATAACTGATGGTGGTTTAACATTTTTTTCATAAATTCCAATTCTTTATAGGGTTTTGATTCTGTATAGTGAATAGTCTCTGCCATTGTTTCTAGCCTGATAATAATTTGCTTATCTGAAGATTGTCCATTTATGAGTTATTTGTAGTGACTTTCTCCACTTAATTTTATGTTTTTGACGTGCATTATGTTGAATATATTTACTGTACATGCTATTTTGATTGAAAATGTACTTAGCGATGTGTGTTTTAAATCATATCTACGACAACTGATATGCCATATACTATGTGTAATACTTAGTAGGTATATATGTGATTAATTTTTTGTCTTGGCTTGTAAATAGCTAGGTTTTTTAATGCATCTCCTAGGTCTCAAAATGCTTCAAAATCTTCTCATTTAAATTTTCATCTAGATCCTCATTCCTTAACTTTTATGTACCTATCCTACCAAGTTCTTTTTGCTAACGTTTCATAAACTCCTGTGGTTTTTCCTTTTTCTTTTGTGCAGTGATCTAATATCTAGAACCTTTGCAGGATGATTTGGGACACAGTGCTCCAGGCATGAGGATACCGTCTCGTCCTGCCAGTTGTAATGCTTTTGACGAGAACTTTGAAAATGTAGGTTCTGCTGAATCTGAGCTGGCTTATTTGCATCGTCAACTGACTTCTGCAGATCCTTTAAGGTCAAGTGGAAGTGGCCAGGGATCGTCTGCTGTCCATAACATTGGGCCGATCTCTTCATACACTTATGCTGCTGCTGTAGGCTCTTCGATATCTAGGAGTACTACTCCTGATCCCCAAGTTGTAGCTAGGGCTCCTAGTCCCTGTCCGACACCAATTGGAGGAGGCAGAGTTGGCAACTCTGACAAAAGAAACATAAATAGTCCAAGCACATTTGGTGGTGTCTCAACTGGTGTCAATGGGTCTGATGATCTTGTGTCTGCTTTATCAGGCATGAACCTTTCATCAAATGGTGTCATAGATGAAGATAATCAGTTAGCATCACATTTGGAACAAGATGTTGAAAATCACCAGAATTATCTATTTGGTTTGCAAGATGGTCAGAATCATATCAAACAGCAGGCATACGTGAAGAAATCAGCATCTGGTCATTTACATATGCCTTCATCTAAGAGTAATGGGAGTGGATCCGTACTCCAGAAATCTGCTGTTCCCTCAAACAATTCTCACTTTAAAGGATCACCTACTTCTGCTCTCAATGGCAGTGGCAGCTTACCTTCTCAGTATCATCACATTGATGGTGCAAATGCATCATTTACAAATTATGGGTTAAGTGGTTACTCTTTAAATCCTGCTTTGGCCAATATGATGCCTAGCCAACTTGTAGCTGGCAATCTGCCGCCATTGTATGAAAATGTTGCTGCCGCATCAGCTATGGCTGGCCCTGGAATGAACTCCAGAGTGCTTGGGGGAGCTTTCGGTTCTGGACAAAACATTTCAAATGCTGCATCCGAGTCCCATAATCTGGGTAGAGCTGGAAACCCAATAGCCAGGAATGCTCTGAATACACCTTTAATTGATCCTTTGCATCTTCAGTATCTAAGGACATTTGATTATGCTGCAGCACAGCAAGCAGCTCTTAATGACCCCGCCATGGATAGGAATTTCCTTGGTAATTCATACATGAACTTGCTTGAGCTTCAAAAAGCTTATCTTGGAGCTCTACTGTCACCCCAGAAATCCCAGTATGGTGTTCCATTGGGTTCTAAATGTGGTAGTTCTAATTTCCATGGTTTTTATGGAAATACGACCTTTGGAGCTGGCATGTCTTATCCTACAATCCCATTAGCAAGTGCTGTTATTCCCAATTCCCCGGTTGGACCTGGTAGTCCTATCAGACAGACTGATCTGAATATGTGTTTTCCTTCCGGGATGAGGAACCTAGCTGGGGGTGTCATGGGACCCTGGCATTTGGATTCAGGATGTAATATTGATGAAAGCTTTGCCTCCTCCCTACTTGAAGAGTTCAAGAGCAATAAAATGAAATGTTTTGAACTTTCAGAGCTCGCTGGTCATGTTGTTGAGTTCAGGTATGTTTGTAGCTTACATCATGTTTTATGTTGTTATACTGTCATCCTGATATTTACACGCTTTTCATGAGCAGCGCAGATCAATATGGAAGCCGCTTTATACAGCAAAAACTTGAAACAGCCACAACTGAAGAGAAAACTATGGTTTATGAGGAAATCATGCCTCAAGCTCTTGCTTTGATGACTGACGTGTTCGGTAATTATGTCATTCAGAAGGTATCATATCAGCCTCTTGATCTGTTTCTTATCTGCTTAGTATTAAACATTTTAATGGTTTATTGTCTTTACCCAATGCTAATACCTTAAATTCGTACAGTTTTTTGAGCATGGACTTCCAAGTCAGAGAAGAGAACTTGCTGGCAAGCTTTTTGGTCATGTTTTAACACTTGGTCTTCAAATGTATGGGTGTCGGGTGACCCAGAAGGTATTTTATGGTCGTTATTTTCTTGGCTTCATTTCATGCATTTTTTCCATTTGGTTTGCTCATAATCATCTGATTACTTATTGAACAGCTTCTGTTGATTCTTTTCATTTACCATTCTCCTCATAATTGCAGTTTCTTGACAATTTATGAGTTCCTTTCTAAATGACCCCAGCACAGTTTTGTATTTGACATATGGAAATGTGTCTTAGTCTGATAAAGTGGTACTTTCCTTTTTCATGCAGAATTGATTTAAATCTTTATTTATGTTTACTTTGTAATTATGGACTATGTATATGCTTTAACAGTAAGACTTAACTTTATCATCTGCTTATCTTGCTTTGTATGGATTTCATAGAAGTGCTTGTGCTAATTGATATGATTCTAAATGCTTACACCAAGAATACTGCTTGCTTTTTGACAATTATGTATGATTTGTTGAACACTCAAGGCCATAGAAGTTGTTGATCTGGATCAGAAGATTAAAATGGTTCAAGAGCTTGATGGTAATGTGATGCGTTGTGTACGTGATCAGAATGGCAACCATGTCATCCAAAAATGTATCGAATGTGTTCCTGAGGAGAACATTCAATTTATAGTTACAACGTTTTTTGATCAAGTTGTGACCCTTTCTGCTCATCCATATGGGTGCCGGGTGATACAGGTTCGGAACCTCATTTTGCCCCTTAGAACTGTCCTATGCTAAGAATGATCGATGTGTGTTCGGCAGTAATTTCTTTTCTTTTAACACTGCAGAGAATACTGGAGCACTGCAAGGACCCAAAAACGCAGAGTAAGGTTATGGATGAGATTTTAGGATCTGTTAGCATGTTGGCTCAAGACCAGTATGGGAATTATGTTGTTCAGGTTGTGGTTCTTTTCTGGAAACTTATATTTTGCACGTTATAGATTTGGTGCATGGACTGACCTTTTCATTCACACAACACTACAGCATGTACTGGAGCACGGAAAACCTCATGAGCGCTCAATTATAATCAAGGAACTAGCTGGAAAGATTGTCCAGATGAGTCAGCAGAAGTTTGCCTCTAATGTTGTTGAGAAGTGCTTAACTTTTGGTGGTCCTTCTGAACGTCAACTATTGGTGAATGAAATGCTTGGTTCTACTGATGAGAATGAGCCTCTTCAGGTTTGTCTATTTTGTGCCTGATTTTTCACCTGTGAATTGTAACACTTTTCTGATTTTTAAGTTCTCAACATTGAATAATAAATGTACAAAATAACTACACCTGATTTATAAATCATTGGAGAAAAGCCATGAATCATGAGTGCTATTATTTGTGCTAGATTTTGGCTGAATATGGTGGTTTTCCTTCTTGATGAGAAATATGCCTAGTTCATTTACATTTGTAAGCTGGGTTCATGTACAGTAAGGATTCAGGAATGCTGCGAATATTTATGGGAGCTCTTAATATTTGCATATTACTGCTGTCTCAGGATGCAATAAGATGTGAAGACTCCAACTAGAATCATCTTTCTAAAAATTGATTGCATGATTTTCAAGAAATAGTTTTCCCGTTACTCTATAATTCCTTGTCATTTTTATCGACACTTGTTTGTCTGATTTCAGGCAATGATGAAAGATCAATTTGCAAACTACGTTGTACAGAAAGTACTGGAGACTTGTGATGACCAGCAACGTGAGCTGATCCTCTCTCGAATTAAGGTCCATTTAAATGCATTGAAGAAGTACACTTATGGGAAACATATTGTTGCACGCATAGAGAAACTTGTTGCTGCTGGGGGTACTGTTTCTTCCTTGTCGTCTGTGACTGCTTATTAGTTTTTTTATGTCTGTTCATGCATGGTGTAAATGAGTTCCTTAGACTAATGCCGAATTATTCCACATATAGCTCTTGTAACTACAATCCTGGAATTATTCAATCACTTGAAAAATATGGGTTCAGCAAAATTTTCATGTGCTCTACACAATTCAAGATTTTTATTGGTTCGATTGCATTATAGTAATTGTAGGTGACATGCTCTCTCTGTACATCTGTAATGAAACCATAGGAATTTGATCTAAAGCAGGCATAGGGCTATCGACGTGAAACACACTTTTCTTTTTGATCAATTCAAATTTGATCCTTATTCTGTATGTCGAAACCTTCTAATACGTAGTTTTGTTTACTTTTCAGAAAGGAGAATTGCTGCTCAGTCTTCCCACCCTGCTGCTTAGTTGGTGTAGGAAATAATATGTTTGTACAGCTAACAGAAGCTATTATGAGAGCTTCCTCTATCTCTAGAGCTATGTTTCTACCTATCTTTTTAGGCAGGTAAGATCTGTATGGAAATAAGTTGTTGCTTGACTGGAAGAACTGCACATTTTGTAGCTTAAGATGTATACATAGAATCGAGCAAACCCGAGGTTTCAGTTGTTGAATATGACTGATGACCCCATGCAGAGGAGACAAATGATTATAGGCGTTGTTACGGTGTAAAAAATTTAAATGGCGAGTTAGTTTTATATGGTAACCGCGACTGTACAAAATGTTGGCTTGTGGAGAGCTGTTGATGTTTAGGTGAGGCCAAGGTTTTTACCTGTTCGATGTATGCTTAATGACATTTTTACTTCTTTCCCTCCTAAATGTTCTTTGTTTCTTGCTGCCATCGAATTGCTCATGTTTGTGTATATCTATATTGGTTTTTATTTGATTTAGTGATCAAGACTAGGGTAATCATCTGATGCAAATATGTTAAAAAGAAAGAAAATTCCCACTGGAACTTGAAGAATTCTTGGAAACAAAGAGGTATGATTGATTAAAACAAACGATAAACCAGAAAAAAGTTGAGTGCCGCGATCCGCGCAACAGGAAATGTACTCGCCTTTTATAGGTCGGTATTATCTTCTTTTGATGCTCACAGGCACGACTGTCATTTCTGCAACCTGTGTCGTATTGCATTATCAATGTTTTCATATTTACTATTTAGCATACAATATCAATCATCCAATCTTTGCAATTAAACATGGCGGAGTCTTTGAATTCTAAGCACCCTTCACGTTAATCTTCAAAACACTAATCAAATGACCACCGCCAATAAATTTCTCGCTACTTCACCATTTTCTTCTATACGAGTTCCATGATGATATGTTGACATACAAATTCTTTCAAGCATTTGAGCAAAACACCAAGCACTCATTGTGGAGAAATATCGGAAGCAATCTTTAATGGACCAAGATAGGGACTACGAGAGGCCTTACAGGTGTCTATACAAGAACCATGGCCGGCAATATTGGTGTCGTCTATGCTTGGTCTCCATTTCGGACAAAAAGTATGAATAAAACGAGGGTGTTTTAGTATTTTCATTTTCTTTTGTTACTGTCTAAAGTAACGGCCTTTTTTGAACCGTTGATATACTTATCATCAGAAGCCATGGTCCGGTTCCAAGCCATGCACCTCCCACCACAACTTCCCTTACAACCCAATTTCAGAGCAGAAAAACAGAGTTTTTGCATCCAAAATCCAGACTTTTATGAATATCAAATACACTATAGAAGAGGGTTAATTCATGAATATGCATGAATTGTATCGTTCCTTAACACCGAATGCTCTTATCTTTGGCCCTTACTTTTCTCCAAGATCATTCCTTACCGTTCAAAAGCAGGCAAATTTATCGGTACCCAGTTCCAGATATTGCCAAGGCGGTGGCTTTGGCTTTACTCCAAGACCTTTGCACCAGTTCTTTTCAGGTATTATAAGAAAAGAAATGCGTGTACCCTTTTGAGAGCGAGCTGGAGAGTCTCCTTCTGCAACTCCAGATGAAATCAAAAGGGCTTATAGGAAACTCGCTTTGAAGTATCACCCTGACGTCAACAAAGAGGTAATTCTGTGAAATAGACATTAAAATTCCCATTACCTTGTATTTGTGTTGCTTGTTTCTTATTGGAAGGTTAATAGAGGTTGAAACAATGGCACCAAACCACGTAGTATCATGTTTCTCAGGCTTTGTTCTGATTACTATTGTTCAACTATCTTCTTAGTTCGGGTTTCAGGTTTCAGAAATAAATCAATTGCTCTCCAGGAACCAGAAAACCCTTTGCTTTGAGAAGATATAGGACATCTCAGAGTTAGGGCTTCTTAAGTGATTGAAAGCAATGTTTATCATATGATAGTTACGATTTTGTTGTTTATGCATTTCTATCATTATTCCTTCATAGTTGGATTGCCTTTCTGAGCTTTAATGCTTTGTTTTTTATGTTTATTGCTTTTGTATATCGAGTAATTCTGGTTTACAGGCAAATGCTCAAGAGAAATTTATGAGGATTAAGCATGCGTATAATACGTTGCTGAACTCTGAATCTAGGAGAAGATACAACCCTGGCGGTAACCGAACATCTGATTTTTCGTACTCTGGAACTCAAAGAAGCCAGAGCTATAACACCCAAGATAAAGAATTCTATGGATTTGGTAACATCCTCTAGACCTACCAGAAGCTAATTAGTTGTTTTATCCGTTGAGGATTATATTCTTATAGTGTGTGTGTTCAATGTTTACACTCAATGTAGCTGCTTTCCTTATAGCCATTTAAGAGTTAGTATTTCGTTTCGTTTCTATATGCTCTTGCAGTTCGATGGATGATGTTGGTGGTCCATGCCATGCATTGCTTACTCTAAATGAGCACACTTCATCCTTTCAACTTTTTAACTTTCTTTTATGACCATTTCCGAATGGGAAAACCATCTAACCACCGCTGAAAGGATACTTATAATTTATATGTTTCGTTATATTTCTAGGAATGAGACGTATTTTTTGTTATTCTTATACTTAAAGTTTCATGCTGCAGGCAATTTTTTGAGGGATGTTCAAATTTACGCTAGGTAGATTTGTACTCTCTGCTGAGCTTATGAGGTTGATAAGATAGAATTGATTGCTTCATTTCTAAATCTTGTCCAGCATCTGTTTTATCTTCTCCCTCTAAATGGCAACTAGTACTCACTTCTCTTTATAACTCATAGTTCGATTTGTGTTGCAGAGGACTTCTTTAGCGACCTTCAAGAAGAATTTCGGAATTGGGAAGCAAGTGCATCACAAGAAAAGCCGAAAAGCTTATGGGAGGAATTAGCGGTATGATGTCACTGTTTCTAGCATTGCTGATATATATATATATATGAAAAGCATACTTACGCTCGTTCAAGCTTAGTTCGTAACAAGGAATATTTTCGCTTAACTAGTTGAATTCACCAATGGCAGGTGATTGGAGAGGAATTTGTTGAATTTCTGGAGAAAGAGCTCAACATATCTGATGATGAAGTTGAAGAAAACAGCAGAAACGACTTCAGCAATCCCGAGAGAACAGGAAGCAGTTTTCAAAACGAAGCTAACAAGGGTAGCAGCATTGAGGAGAACATCGACGAAATAGAAGCTACTCTTGATAAGCTGAAAAAGGAGCTAGGTTTGTAACAAGGAAGTGCAGCTTTATATTGCTCTGACACAAGTCGAGCTGTTCTGCAAGCTTACCATGCTGGGAAGTGAATTACAGTAATAGCATCCGTGGATATTTCCGACACTCAGCAACATTGATGTTTGTTCTTGAAAGGGGAAGATAGTTTGATACTCTTATCAGAATCGCAAGATTGATTGTTGTTCTTGAAGTATTTGCAGAGAAAAGAAAAGCCTTTTTCTCTTGACTATTTCCCCACCAAAACCATTTCATATTATTTTCTTGATCAACTGGTAGCAGGTAGCAGATAGCAGCATGGTGATTATTTAGCCTGGACCATACAACACAGAGTTCACAATGTTGATGATTACGGTGCAAATATAACTTTAAACCAAAGGTATCGGCAAGCCCAACATGCTTAAGCGCTTAATACCCTCCTATTCATGATGGGATGGGATAATTATTGTATCAAATTATTTAAAAATATTGAATAAAAAATAATCTCATTTTATTTATGATTTAATAATAATTATAACATAGTTATAACCCTAATAAAAATTTAAATATAAAAGTGAAAGGTCCACTTTGACCCTACTTATTCCATTAGACTCTAGGAGCTAAAATTATATATTATATAGATTCAACAACCTAATATATTCTTATTTTATTAATAGCTATTAAATACACGCGGATATTATTTTTATTATATTTTGTCGTATTTCTAAAATGAAGCATCTTGCACGAATCAATTTATCTCAGTGGTTAAAGGAATTATTGTTTTTAGAAGTTATGGATTCGAGCACAAACGACTGTAAAGATGATTGAAAATTCATTGTCAATCATAATAATGATGGTTTGGACTCAGTTTCTGAAGGAAGCAATAAACACCGAACTAAGAAAAAGAGAAAGAGAACATAAAAGGTCTGAGAGGCATGAAACTACTTCAGATGATGATTCTCAAACCGAGGACTGGAGAGAGGCTTAGAGGATGAGGAAGGAGGAGATGCGTAGACGTCGCAAGGAGTGGCGTCACAGAAGAGAAGAACGACATGCTCGGAAGCCTAAAATGAAAGGTCAAGATGATGAGGATGCAGCAAGGAGGAACTTCCGTCCAAGTGATGATGAGGCATCATCTAAGCATGAACAACTTGAAGTGGAGTAAGGAAGAAAGCCCTTGAATCACTAAAAGCAAAGAGGGGCTGAATCTTGTGAATTTTAATGCTAATATGCTATTTTATTTTATGTTGAGCAGACACTTTTGAAGTTCATAAGTATTTTATATTGGTTACTGCTTAATGTAGTTTGTGTTTACTGGTGGTAGCTGAAATGGATAAATTAGAATATACTACTGCTCTCGTAGAGAACTTAGTGTATCCGTCTGTCTTCCGAGAACATCGAATGTATGTATTTGCAATGATTAACTCTGCATGAGAATATTTCTCAAATTTGAAAGCTACGCATGTATTTGCAGTGATTAGTTGTGCATCAGAATTTCTCTGAAATCTCGGTACGCATTGATGCATTAAAAATAAGAGAAAATAATCTCAGTGATCGAAAATGCCTTATAATATACGATTTTAACAAAAAAAATTTCGATTTGCCAAAATGACCAACAAAATCGCAACGCGATCTCTAGTATCGCAAATCAGTTTCCAGATTCGCAACGCGATTTTGACTATCGCATTGCGAATATGTAAATCGCAACGCGATTCTGACTATCGCAACGCGATCTCCAGTATCGCAAATCAGTTTCCAGATTCGTAACGCGATTTTAGAAAATCGCAATACGAATATGTAAATCGCAACGCGATTCTGACTATCGCAACGCGATAATACAAAATCACAACGCGATTCTGACTATCGCAACATGATAATACAAAATTTGCAACGCGATTCTGACTATCACAACGAGATAATACAGAATCGCGTTGTTGCGATTTTAGAAAATCGCAATAAGAATATGTAAATCACAACGCGATTCTGACTATCGCAACGCGATAATACAAAATTGCAACGCGATTCTGACTATCGCAACGCGATAATACATAATCGCAACGTGATTCTGACTATCGCAATGTGATAATACAAAATCACAATGCGATTTTTCAAATTTACGTTAGTCCAAATTCGTTGCGATAATCCAAGTTCACGTTGCGATTTCTTAAGAATTTTCTCTAAAAAGATAGTATCCGCGCGGACGTGTCGAAGACACGTATTACCACGATCACGACCCGAGACGGGACAGCGACAGCGACGCGCGAGAGTCTCCCTTGTTCTCTTCCACTCAACAAGGAAGTAAAAAATTCAAGCCTTAAATACCCATTCCCAATAGTGTTTCTAATACTATGTAGGATTGAACATTGCAAACACTTGGGAATCTTTTACACTATCGCAACACATTATTTATTGTTTTAAACTAAGATCTTACAAATAGCTTGAGAATCTTTTATACTATCACAACATATTCTTTATTGTTTCAAACTCCACATGAATTTGAAATAGTTAAAATATAAACATATTTTGGATATTTCACTATCGCAACAACACATTTTTCAAACTCTCGCAACACATTTTAATTATCGCAACACATTTTAACTATCGCAACACATTTTTCAAAATCGCTTTGCGAATCTTACAATCACGTTACGAATCTGGGATATTCACGTTGCAAATTTGGAAACTGAGTTGAAAAATTAGAGCTCGAGTTGCGAATTTAAGATTGCGTTGCGATTTTGTTGATCATTTTGGCAAATCCAAAAAAATTGATTAAAATCGTATATTATAAGACATTTTCAATCACTGAGATTATTTTCTCAAAAAATAATTCTCTGTATGCGAAGGACAATCTATCCACCCAAATTATCTGGCATTGAACAGGCGAGCAACCAACCACCCACGGATCCCAGCGACAAAGGGGTGTCAAATGAGATCTGATTAGAGAGAGAGAAAAAACTGCTTCTCAATAAGGAAATAGCTTTATTCTCAAACATTACAGGCTATGTAGACGAAGACCATGGAGGCATTTGAAAGATTACACTTCAAGTAAAATACAATGTTCCAGAAAATGAAAATTTTACGGCTAATGAAGCTTTACCGGCATCAACCACGACATAACTGTTATAGAAATCGTGGTATGATCTGAGATTATCCAACATCGGATTAAGCTGTGGTGGGATCATTAATCACACCCAAGAAATCATCCTTTATGGTTCCAATACAGAACTGCAAGACAAAACAGAAAAACGTCAATCTTAATACTTACCACTGGACTCTCTTATTCCTTTTTCCTCGAGTATTTGACATCTGACAACGATATCAGTATATGATTCTTCAAATATATGGAAAGACTCAACCCCGGTCAGAAAGCCGTCGGATGAAATGTGACAAAATGTAAAGTAAGAAATTTTAACAAATGTGTGTACAAAATACAGGCTCACATAGCAGCCTACATGCTCAAATATAGACCTGAAATCGGATTATCTTTGATCCCAGCACAGACATGTGATTTACCAGATTTTAGATCATACAGAAGAATAATGAGCAATAATCACAAAGAAAATAAAAAAAAATCCCATTATACACTTAAATGCATAACTTTCCCTACCACCATAATAAATGCAACTTGTTATTGATTTGTGACCAGTTCCAACAATCAGTCACTACTTGCATTAAGGAATACTTCAAATCTATGTTATCTGGATTTGGGTGTGACTGCTAGATATGAGTATGGTATGACACTGACATATTCAACTTTTTTTAAGAAAAATTCCATGCATTTGAAAGATTCTTGAAGAGTCCAAGCATTACAACTACCAATTCCGATTGGTCTTAAAAGACTCTACGTTAGCTTGGCATCTACATCTCTAAGTGAATCTATTAAAGTCCTTAACATGTCAAGACTGTGTGATTCACGGCACACACAAGTATAGGAACTATGAGTTAAAATAATAATGAAGAAGAAGAAGAAGAAGAGAGGGTTAAGTTCATACTATTTCAGTAGCATCTACTCGAGTTCCAATTATCTTCAAGCGAACTTCACTGTCCTTTTGAATCTTAACCTGCAAAAATATAAACGGAAAGGTCAGAAGTTGAATTCTCACGACAAAATATTAACAATTATTTTGCCTTAAGCATACCGATCCATCAGAGGTAGTATAATTCGGTATATCTCCAGACTGAAACTCCATATCATCTGGAATCAACTGGAAAGGCACAAAAAAAATAATTTACAAGTGAGATGGAGGTATAAAAGAAAAGGTAAAATTTGTCAGCCAATCCAGTAAATCTGAAATCCAAGTAACATATGAAGTGTAAATGAAAAAGAAACTTTCCTACAATAAAATGTAATAGAAATACCATCAAGATACAAAAGTTTCCTATATTAGATGCAAGTTATAGGCATGCTTACAGGAAAGACGCTACTTCTTCATATATCATGCATTAATCTTCATCCAAATTGCAAAGTAGAAGAAAATGAGTCTCATAAAAACAAAACTCGTGTTTCCTCGTATGTTGTCATAGGAACAGAAAATCACTCCCCGACAAAGGAACTAGCTCATTGAAGTTGATCAATGGGATAATTCAAATACTATTTCCTTCCTTAAGTCTCTATCTCAAATCAGGATACAAAGCATAACATTGAAAAAGAACGAAAACTTGAGCGCATAGCATAGAACCGAAGTGGAAGATCTATATTCTAACGGATGTCTAACAAGACTTACATGGTTAGAAACGAAAATTTGGACCGGGCCGGCTTCTGCAAAAAATCCCATCTGTGAGGGAAGCCACAAACATTAGTTGCAACCATTAAAATAATTGGAAGAAACCAATAGTTAAACAATCCAAAGGAAAACATGCCTTGTTCACCATCGAAACAGCAGCTTCCAAGATCTCCCCTTTAAATGGTCTGAACACAACACATTGATATTTGACAGGGAATGTCACAAATCCTGTCCCGTCTCGAATCAAACCTTTACCGACGTTTTCTATACCCGTTATTGCCACCACAAATCCATGTCTACCACTGCAAAAGAATTACCAAATTTTACCAATTTTATCCCCAAAACCCATTCTAGATTCTTCCATCCAATCAATCCAAGAGAACCCTATTTGGAAAACTAAAACCCAACACACGTGAAAAAATAATTATTTTTTGTCTGATTCGTTATGAAGTTGTAAAGGAAAGAAGAACCTGCAAGTGCCCTCGACATCTTTCATGAGTTTGGAAACTAGGTTTTCCCGTAGGTTACGACCGAAGTGGCGTGGATGCAGCTGCATGTTCCTCTCCAATACTATGTGAAAAAACATTTTTTTTCTTTTTCTTCTCGATTAAGAACCAAAGTTTTAAAACTGAACAGATCGAAGAGATTGAAGCTTGGGCGAATGTTTATTTGCGAATATGTTTTGTTTCGTTCCTTCTACTTATAATGGGGTTTCCGGAAGGCTTCGGTTTTCTGGCCTTGAGCTTGGGCGGCTCGGATCTTATTATACCACTAGACTCTATATATTAGGGTTAATTACACCCAACCTCCTAGAATTATGGTTTAAATTGTAAATTACTCTATAAAGTATATCCAACACGTATATCAAAATTTAAACAGATACAACTAATGTATGGGAATTTTATATTTATTAAAAAATTGATGTAATTAAAATTTTAAAGATTTAAACTACGTATTTAGTCACTCAACTATAACTTATTCTATTTTGATCATCTAATTTGATTTTTTAAATCATATCTAATGTTATCTTTTGGCTCCATTTTGACTACTCGTTGTTAAAAAATTAATGATGATGTTGTCGTGTCTCCACAAGATAACGTGATGTTAGTTTTGATTTTTTTTATCACATCAACAATTTTATTTATTTTTTAACATCATGTAATAAAAAATAAACCATTTATTTTTTAAACTCGTGTGATAAAACGAAACCAAAACATAACATTAAGTATGATTTTAAAAATTAATTAAATGACCAAAACGGAACCAAAGTGATAGTTAGACGACTAAATATGTAATTTACCCTTATTTTGGGTACATATGTATCTTAAGTAATTGTTAGATACAATAGCTATTAATTCTTATCATTAGAATTTAACTTTAAAACATTAAAGATTGAATTTATAATTGTATCTTAAAATTTTAATTATAATGTTTTAAGATATGATCTACTCTATTTCAGACTAATACTTAATAATGCTTAAATTGATGGAATAACCTAGTGATATAATATTAATATTTTGAATAATTGATTAAACCCATTTAAAAGTTAAGAATTAATGTGAAATATAGATTATAATTTGAGAAGTTTTGTCTATTAAAATAACAATTAATTGCATTTATCTTTAGAAAACCATAAATGAATTAATTTGATTCGGTTTATACTGTCCATTCTTGATCTGTTTTGTTCCTTTCAATTCTCATAACCATACACTTTACATAACTCACAGACATGTTTAAAAACATAGGGAAAACAAGTCTTAACACTTTTATTACAAGTTGGTGACTGATCAAATAAAACAATTTAAACCTTTGTTTCTAAAAGAACTTCCAAGTTCCAACCTCCCATCTTCCACTTTTGAAGAAAACGTGTCGATTTTTTTTATATAAAAAAAAAGTCTCTTCGAGCTGCTAACAAATGGATTTGTTTAAAAATTTCACAATCAAGTAAAAAATAATATTACCTTTTTTCCCTTCAAGTAGAACAGCATCCTTTCTTAGTGTTCCCTGATGTCTCAGCCACATTAATGGTTGTTCCCTGACCGGGAATCGAGGCATTAGCTTTGGCTTCCTGTGCTGCCAATGCCTTTTTGCTTACGATATGGTAGACCTCGGTCAATATGGTTTGGAATGCCTTCTGGATGTTGGTGGCATCCAAAGCTGATGTTTCGAGAAAAGAAAGCCCTTCCTTCTCGGCCAGGGCTTGACCATCCTGTTCGGAAACAGCTCTGAGATGGTTCAAGTCAGACTTATTTCCAGCCATCATGAGGACGATGTTGGAATCAGCATGGTTCCTTAATTCACGCAGCCACCTCTGAACATTATCAAAGGTTTGCCTCTTGGTTATGTCATAGACAAGAATTGCACCAACGGCTCCTCTGTAGTAAGCACTAGTGATAGCTCGATATCTCTCCTGACCTGCTGTATCCCATATCTGTGCCTTCACCGCCTTTCCCTCCACCTATATTATGATGATGAAGAGAAATTAATAGCTAAATACAAACCAAACAGTTCATCAATCTCCATTATCATGATTACTAGTGAACAAAGAAATGAAGATTCTAATAAATCCAATATATCAGCCTGGAAAATGAAGAAAATATTGTTTATATCATGGGGCCATGAACAACAGCCTGGACTAACCCAGGAAAAGAAGTAGAGCTGATTTGATCAAACCAGGAAATGAAAATGATGATAAAGCATTTCAATTCAATGAAATAAGAGAGAAATGCTTTCCCCTCACCCTGATAGTGGTATGGATATAAGTTCGACACGAGTATACTTGATTTCTTTTTAAGTTTCCCCCCCCCCCATATATTTGGAGCATCATAATTCATAAAAGAGTCCGCAAAAATACATCAATCCATCCATCTAAATAAAAAAAATATATTCTGAATGGATCAAATCTTCAATATTTCTTAAATGTAGAATTTGTAAAGGGAAATAGAAACGGAACAGTCATCTCAGCTCAACAACATGTTATTTGTGAAAAATACACAAATAAAAGAAAGACATGAAAGCGCCTTTGATGATTATCACTGTCAGATTATTTTCATTGTCCCTTCTTTTACAGCATATCACTCAAATGAACTTCCAAGCTAAAAATCAAGTTGCAAGAGAACGCAATCAGATTCTTCATGTAGAATTAAAATAACTTTTTACGTAATAAATGTTTAACTAAGCATAAGAATCCACAGTATAGTTCGTCAAGCAATTTATTCCCCACGAAACTAAATCAGATCATAAAGTAATCTAATATACTTAAAAATATCAACGTTGAAGAGCATTTTCAAGTTCTAGAAACTTCAAGACCAATTAATTATCAGCAGAGAATTGAAAAGAAAAAAAACACAAGGACCATCAAACAAGTATCGATTGAATAGATGAAAAAAACCTGGAGAGTTCTCGTAGCAAACTCGACGCCGATAGTGGATTTAGATTCTAAACAGAACTCGTTTCTGGTGTACCTAGAGAGGATATTTGATTTTCCAACTCCAGAATCGCCGATCAAGACGATCTTGAAAAGGTACTCGTATTCATGATCTACTCTATGCGCCATTTCATATGTCTTTTATCTCTTCCCTCTCAAACCTGCAAGATCCAAACACCAAATAAATCAAAAAGAAAAACTAAAAAAATAAACGAACGAGAAGAGATAGATATGGAATCAATTGAAAATTTACCCGAAGCGGATAAAGATCGAGAAGAGAGAATTATCAAAATGGAAGAAATCCGATAGTTTTGGGGAAATTAAAGAGGGACGAGGCCAAGCCGGGAGTGCTTCGATTTTGATTTTGAAACGGGCAAGGTTTAATTTTGAATTAAAAATATTGTTTATTACGGTTTTCGGCATTTTGGGTGGATGAAACGGTGGCGTTGTAATGGCAATGGTGTAAAATAGACTATATTGAAAGGTTAAAATGAATAGGAGCAGGCTGGGTGGATGGCGTGGCGTGGTTCAGTTAACAAATCATTTCACAGACAGGGAAGATTACTCTTTTATTTTCCGCATATAAAAGTTTACTTTACTTCACTTCACTTCACTTCACTTCTATAAACATAAATAGAAGTCCACTAATTTCATAACTTTGAAGCAGAGTAATCTGTGGTTGAAGTTGAAGTTTTTTAGCTAGAAATGTCGATGGCTTTGACATTAGGACTTTTCACTTCCTTTTTCGAAACAGTGACAGTCAGCATCCCATTCTTCATGGAACCTCGATTAAAATAATATTTATTTGTTATCACGATGATTTTTTCTGTTTTTGACATGCAGATTGAATTTAGATATACTATTTGCGTTCGTGGATAGTATTTTCGCATTGCTTGATTTTGATTTACAGTATGTCGATGGTATTTCAATAGTTTTATTCTCCTTTGTGGTTCGTTTACTGATGCAGTCAGGTCTATTTGTATTTATCTCTTGTTCGAGTTTATTCATATAATACTTGTGTGATCTTAAGTGGTTACTTTTCTTGTGTTTAGAAAAATATTCTTATTAGGTTTAGTTTACGGTTGTGATTGTAAACTTTCATTATAATTTGGATATTTTCTACTTTTGATAAAATTAGTGGCTTCCATAAGAAAAATAACTAAAATAAATTATTTTTTAAGGATGTTAGTATTAAATTATTAAAATAAAATATAAATACATAACGAAGTAGAGCACAAGCAATAGTAAGGTAAAATTATAATTTGTTTCTAAACGTAAAGTTGAAAATGAAAAAGCTAGAAAACTTAGCTTTTGTAGTTGATTTGAAACTACCGATTCCACCGTAATTTTCTTCTTCATCTTTTACATGTTTGACATTGATTTTACAGTCAAAACGAGTTTTTTTTAACTAAAAGTACTTTTAGAAAGCATTATCAAACAGACCCTTAAGCATAATGTGAATTGAATTTGACTTAAATTTATCGGTTTAGGATGGACTAGGACTATGAATAAATATTTTTATAAAATTTAAATTTTATTAGAGATAAAAATTAATAAATGTGTAGTTATTCAATTTCTCAAATATTTAAATAAATTGATTAAAGATATAATATTACGTAAGATGGGAGAGTTATGTGTAAGCTATTATAACTATTTGTAGGTTAGTAGTTTAGATAGATATGATCATTAAATCATAGATTTTTGTTTTGGTGGATCATGTGATCGAGCCATATATCTTATCTATATATTGTAATTAACTCAAAGGTCTATCTTCGGAGAACACATGTTCCTTAAGAACTCCGATGAGCAAGGGAGATTTACTTAGAGGTTTCACCTGGTGAAAAGAGTGAGTAGCTTTTAGAGGCGACCTCTGGAGGTATAACATTTGTCTCCTCTTGTCAAGAGAATGTCATAAAGTGACTTGATCTAAGACTTATGATAATAAATGCATTTATCGTCTTTTACTTTATGCTCGGATCATGGGTAGTTAGAGGTGTGAATGGTCCGAGCTAAAAAGTCAATGAGAAGACTATCTTGGTGTGAGGGAAAGACAATAATGTTCACACTGTCTCTTTTCACCTTTTTTCTCCCCCATCATATGCTTCACCTGGTTAGAGAAACCAGAGTGTTTGGGTAGGTTTTAGGAAGAAAAATGAGAGATAAGGATAATTGTTTAGATTTTTGGGAGGATTTCAATTGATTCTCTCAATCGTGAAAGCTCGTCCATGCTCTTCGCACTAATGGCTGACGAGAACAATTTGGTCTCATCAATCGTTGGCAGTTAATCCATTCTTATTTGGGCGAAAAATAAAAAACGATAAGATAACGATCATTGGTTGATGCTTATTTTTTAGGGAGATAAAAGCATAAGGAGAGTTGTGGTTGACGATTCTTTTTTTTTCTTCCTAAACCTCCTGCTCAGCCGTGGCTAATGTCATGTATAGATAAATAGATATGATGTCAACTCTTGGACTTTGTTCTAATAGTTCACATGATCTTATCAGAGATTCTATCTATGTATTATAATTGATTCATAAGTCTATATTCAGAGAATACAAATTCCTTAAAATCTCTGATAAGCAAAAGAGATTTACCTATAAATTTCGAGCGGGAAAGAGAGGGAGTAGTTACCGGAGACCACCATCAAAGGTATAACAATGTGAATTAAATCCAGGTCTTAATCCTATCATATACCATTATTCAACTTCACATAATATTATCTTCAAACAATTAAAATATTATTAATTATGTAAATCCTTTAATAACTCTTAACATAATTCGAAAGATAAAATTTAATTTATAAGTTTAATTTATACTTAAAAGTAACATTTAACAAATGTTAACTAAAAAGGTCATAGAAATCTTCATTAAAAACATTTAATTGTCTTTAACTTTATTTTTTTTTAGAGAAATGTTACTTTATGGACAAGAGTTATCTATTGGTCGAACGATATTGGATTTTTTTCCCATGATCATTTTATGGAAAATAAATGGTGGTTGAGTTGTTTTCAATGGGATCTATATTAGCAGCAACTTCATATTTAATTCCGTCATCTACTTTATGTTTATATATATGGTGAACTTGTGGTTGATCTTTCTTCGTTCATATCAGAAAAATCAAGGCTAGGCCATTATTAATTAATGCTCAATTAACGTTGGTAAAAAACGATTAACGTAATTCTCTATATTTTGAAAATTAAATTAATTTCTCATCGAATAAAGATCTCCAAATAATTTTTTAAACGTTCAAAATATATTAAATAAATTATTAATAAAATTTGTTTAGTTAATTTATCCTAAATATAATAAACGAATGAAAATTGTCACGTCACATATGTTGGTGTTTATTTAGCAGGTTTAGTAGAGAACAAGAGCCACCATGAATAATAATAATAAAATTAGTGGTTTCTCTGAAAAAGAAGAAGAAATTAGTGGAGAGAAAGCTCAACACAGACTTACAATTCTCAGTCTTCAAAATTTACAACAATCCACATACTCGGGAAAAATAAATGGCGTTTGTTTTCTGGGAAAATGCAAGAAAATCTCTACTTTTGTAGGATACAACTGAGAAAACGGTTGATTACTATATTTTTTTTCTCGCTCACAAATAAAATAAAAAGGAATATAATGTAACGAAAACTAGGGAAGAACAAGAACTCTTCGACATAAGCTCCTAAAAAACCTGAGAAAAAAAAAACCCATCACCTCAGGTTCTCTAATTTCCCCTTCATACATCACAAAAACCAGAACCTTCTTCTAATTTGTTTACTTTAACAGTCAAATCCCAATGCTAAATTCTCTATATTCTGTAATAGCGATGACCAGCAAGAAATTCTGGGTTTCAACCTGTTTTATAGTTTACTTTCTTCTTCATTATATCTTCTGTATATCTAAATTATCTTAAAAAAGCAATTTTTTCTCGTTTTTATCAAATACACAGGAAAATTTTGTTTTTTATTTGAAGATTCATTATCAAAATCCGATGAGAAGTTTATTCACGATCGGGCTAACAGCAGCATGGTATTCCTCCAACATTGGGGTTTTGTTATTGAACAAGTTCTTGCTAAGCGATTATGGGTTCAAATATCCGATCTTCCTCACGTTATGCCACATGTTGGCGTGCTCTTTGCTGAGTTACATCTCCATTGAATGGCAGAAAATAGCTTCTCTGCAAAGAGTAAGATCGCGGCTGCAGATGCTGAAGATATCCGCCTTGGGGATCATCTTTTGTTTATCCGTTGTCGGCGGGAACATTTCTCTTAGATACCTCCCAGTTTCGTTCAACCAGGCAGTCGGTGCCACCACGCCGTTCTTCACGGCGGTTTTAGCGGTGGTGTTGACGGCCAAGAGAGAAGGCTGGCTTACGTATGTCACACTGATTCCTGTTGTAACCGGTGTTATTATTGCTACTGGAGTAAGCGCTTGGATTGTTACGTAGTTCTTTTTTAATTGTGATATGCTGTTAACTGGTTATTGATTTGGTTCATGTGTTAATGCATCGATTGAAGGGAGAACAACTGTTTCATCTGTTTGGATTTATAATGTGCATTGGTGCCACAGCTGCAAGAGCTCTTAATGATCATGGATTCAAGGGATTTTGCTCTCTTCTGAAGGGTAAGGACATTTTCTGAAATCGGCTTTGTTTAGCATTGCTTTTGAAACCTACTTTCTGAATGCAGAAACGATGCTAAATTAGCTTTCATTGGTTAATTTTATCAGGGAAAAGCTCAACTCCATGAACTTGCTAATGTACATGGCACCTGTAGCTCTAATAGCCCTTGTTGCAGCAGCTCTTTACATGGAAGAAGGTGTGATCGGAATCACCATTGCACTTGCAAGAGATGATCGGAGGTTCTTATTGTGTCTCCTCTTCAATTCTGCACTTGCATATTTTGTCAACTTGGCCAATTTTTTGGTCACTAAGCATGCCAGTCCCTTGACTCTTCAGGTAAAATTACTCGGTACACGTGCGTGCCTAATATGAATATGTTCAACTATATCGATCTTAAGTGTGGTTGTCGTTGTTGCAGGTGTTGGGGAATGCGAAGGGGGCGGTGGCTGTGGTTATATCGATCTTGATTTTCAAAAACCCAGTATCAGTTACCAGGATGCTCGGATACTCGCTCACGGTAGCTGGAGTTGTTCTCTACACTGAAGCCAAGAAACGCAATATGTAACAATATATCCATTAGCAGGGAACATATAGGCACAAATTCCAGCCAATGTTAAGTGGTTTTAGTGTGGGATTGTCCCTCTTTTTGCAGAGATACCAAAGTAGAAGAATTGCAGTTTTGTTGAACATATATACATGTATTTGTCTTCTTTTATGGAGAATTTGGCTGAAATCTTTTACTGGAATTACCTTTCTTTTGTATCCTTTCTCTCTTTACATATCTATATCTATATCTATATATTTATCAATGAAGATTAATAAGGAATAAGATGCATCATTTATAACAATCTGTAGCAAAACCCAAGCACATGAGTTCTCAAGGAGACATTAATGACACAAACATCAGACATCATTCATCCTCAATACCGTTCAAGTAGAACATGATTTCTGCCACGTTGGCTACACCGTACTTGACCAACATAAGTGGCGGTTCTGATTGCAAGCTGATGAACACTGTTTTTGATAACGGAGTAGCGTATGCAAAGGAATTTATGTACCTCAATTCAATTGTGAATGATGCAGGCTCGGTCAACTCTATAATCGTTGCTTCTTCAGCTGGCTGCATGCATATATATAACAAGAAAACTTGTAAGAAAAACGAAGAGTTAGAACAACTTAGCGACCCAAGAATTGCCTACTTTATCTTTATTTTGCCTGATAACAGCTTTTGCAGTTATGTTATCACCATCCGTTGTGGAAAACTTCACCTTTTCCTTGGTAACAGAGACAGTAACTGCAAACCACATCAAACTTAGAGTTAAAGAAGATCCCTGAAATGGTATTCAAAGAATCTTGGATTGATGTTCGGACCAATATCACCAATGCGGCCAAGACCTTCAAAAATCCTAACGAGCTTTGCTGAAGGCATTCGGATAATAGCATCCAAAGTGTTCATCTCCGGGAGTTGAACTAATTGACCGTTGATTAATTCCATCCGTTTCAGGTAATATTCCGATAAATTGTACATTCGGTCTTTAATCCAACATAATTAGCGCAGGCATTAAGAAACACCAAAAATATGTTCAGTTCAACTTAAAGAATCTTCATCTTGATTGGGATAATTAAAAGAGAATAATATAAGTACCCTGGAAATCCGGCAAGGTACTTGGCCTGTGGTACGTGAATGTAATGACATCTTCGTCGTGCTTAGCGGTGATTGTGAGGGTGTTGCCTTCACTGCAGCGTTTGAGTTTCTTGTACAAGGTTTTGAGATTAATTCCCAAGATGATGTCATCATCGCAGTGATAGTGGTCGAAGCTTTGAGGTGACAGAAACAGATATAAAACTACCACTTTGGTCGGTTCTACGAGATGCAACGAGACGCCATCCGCCGTAAAGAAGAAGAGGGCATCATCCACAAAGCCCTTAATCGCTTTCACCACTTTCTTCAGAAGAGAACCATGAACTAGCCTAAATTCAAGCATTTTTGGGTTTCTTTTGTTTTCTTGATAGAAAAGATTTGGAGTCTTGAAGGGTCTTGAAGGAGAAAGGGAAGATGCTTGCCTCGAGGTTTATTATATAAGAGAGAACCTTAAGTAGTTTGAATCGTGGGACTAAAAGTTCGTTGCAAACGAGTAGGCTAAAACTTCGTTTCTACGGCATTAAACATGATATGGTTGTTATTGCATATTGCACGATGTAAGTTGGTATTGTATACCAGGGACGGAAATGAGAGTACTGTTTCCTTATTGTCTCGATTTTAATTTAAAAATTAAAATAATTATTTAATTTTCATTTAATTCGGTATTTAATGAGTTTCATCTATTTCAAATCTATTTTAAATTTTAGGGAAAAAAACCTACTTCTAATCTGATGCGAGTATTTTTCTTATTTTTATTCGATAATATAGAGAAATAATTAAAAAATGGACCTCAAATCTCTTTTGTATAATCTAATTTAAATCTGAAGTTTATTTTTTTCTATATAATTAGATTAAATCAAAATTCATTAGATTTAATTACAGTGGAGGGGAATTAAACTAATGATCAACTAATTATCTAGTGGGATGAGGTACTAAATCTCTTAAGTAAAGAGCTCGAATCCTGATATTTGTGAATTGAACAAGCTGGGTTGGGAGGGTCGTCATTGCCTATGCGGTACCCGATCCGACTTAGTCAATGAATAGATCATATATCGGTAATTATAAAAAAATATTAGATTTAAATAATTGCATTGGTAGGATTGTACCTATCTCCTAAGACATTTAAGAATTTTTATCAGCATTTTTATGTACTTAAGATCTGGGTTTGATCTTCATGGATAATTTTTTAATTTGATACGGTTTTTTTATTTTTAGAAAATTTGTTTAGGTATATAAAGCGATTCTATTAACATTTTCTTAATGGCTCTTGACAGAATTTGAAACACAAAATTTAAACTCTCCGGAACATTAAAAGGAAAATCTTCAAGAATTTAACATTAATTATATAATAAATTAAATAAATAAAAATTTATCAACTTTTAGCTAAAATAAATTGAATCTCACTTACAGTTTGTTTTGGAAATGAATACCTAAAAAAAATTTGAATCGCACTCCTGCTAGATCCTAAACTAATAAAATTAGGTCCAATTCAGTTCACATTGGGCTTTTAAGTCCCCGACTTGTGTATGCATAAAGCCCGTATATAGAATATGAACATTCATGAATGTCCTGGAGTTGAAGTGTCTTTTCAGTTTCCGGTTATTACAAATATCTGGGCAAATGTTCCGAATAAAAGTAGAAACATCTTGTGAACGCTAGAATCCTCCACTACTAGTATAAATAATCCCACCTTGAATAACCGGAGAGAACAAGCAAGGATTCCAAAACATCTCAGACAAAGTTCTCTGAGTTTTCTTTGCCATCAAGGTTATTTCAGTCCTGAAAATGTCTCTGATTCCAAGCTTCTTCGGCAACCGACGCAGCAACGTCTTCGATCCATTCTCTCTCGATGTTTGGGACCCTTTCAAGGACTTCACTTCCTCTTCGTTGACGACACGAACCCCAGAGACATCGGCATTTGTCAACACACGGATCGATTGGAAAGAAACCCCTGAAGCTCACGTGTTCAAGGCCGATGTTCCTGGGCTTAAGAAAGAGGAGGTGAAAGTGGAGGTCGAGGACGACAGAGTGTTGCAGATAAGCGGGGAGAGGAAGGTGGAGAAGGAAGACAAGAACGACACGTGGCACAGGGTGGAACGGAGCAGTGGGAAGTTCACGAGGAGGTTCAGGCTGCCTGAGAATGCCAAGATGGATCAGATCAAAGCTTCCATGGAAAACGGTGTGCTCACTGTTACCGTTCCGAAGATGGAAGTTAAAAAGCCTGATGTCAAAGCCATAGACATTTCTGGCTAAAAAAATATTCTACTTAAACAAAAATATTACTCTGTTTCAATCTTATGAGTGGGCTTGTCTCTGTCAGATTAGAGTTTTCTACTATCAAACTTATGTTTATGTAAGTGTGCGAAATGAAGATTGTCAACTTTGCTATATCAGAAATAAAAGAATAATCTCTCTTGTTAATTCACAAGTATTTTAATCCCAATGGAAAAGGTTTGCAGAACAAATCTTAATAAGGGAACCAATGAGAAAGTTGGTTTCGTTATTACAGGTGAAGGCATGTTAAAAAATATTAACATGACTTGCATTTCCAAGTAAGATCAGGAAGAAATTCACATTATCCACCAAGCCTTCATCGCTTTCAGCACTTTCTTCGTAAGGGAACCATGGAATAGCATACGTTCAAGCATTATCTGATAAAGATCATGTAAAAGGATCTTGTCAAAATTCATAAATTAATTTCAAAAAACAACTCTGTAAAATCAAATAGGGTCAAAATTCATTATTCATTTCTAATTATACCAACTTAAAACTTAAAAGATTAAATAATATCTAAACTTATCTTAAAAATAATCAATTAACTATATATGAGGTGATTTCTTCTAATTTTTTAAAATAATTTTTATTTAAGGAGAGAGGGAAGATAAATCTTGCTCGTAAGCATTGAACTCATAACTTGAGAGATAAGAAATATTAATTGAGACATTTTAATCACTTACTTTAAATATTATTAACATCTTTTTTAATTTTTAATGCTCTAACAAAACCATAAACAAGCACATTTATAGTACAAATTATGGTTTAAATGTATCATTGCTCTTAAAATATGTTATTTGTATCGAGTTGTCCCTTAAAACATTTTTTAAAACGTTTTGTCTTTAAAATTTAAATCAATACCTTAAATTGATACCTTGTTTGCTTTAAATCATTAACCCCATTAAAAACACTAAAGATCAGTCACTCAACTATTTTCACAATTTCATTTTGGAGATCTAATTATTTTTTTTTCAAAATCATTATAAAATTTAACTTTTTTTTCCATTTTAGTCACCAATTATTCACAAATATTTCTTTTTTTACGCTGAACTTCTATATTATATTCACAGCATACTTGAGTGAACATTTTCATCAGCCATAACAAATTAGCAATAGTGATTGAAAGGTTGCACGAGCAACAACAACCTTATATGATGTGTTGAATTTTTTGTTTAAAAAAAACCCTAGAACCCCAACCACTAAGCTTAATCCTATAGCACAAACACCTAACCTATTAATAAGAGAAGACAGACACTAGATAGGGTGTCTTTGGTATGAAGATTAAAGCCAACTATAATTACAGATTATGCACAAATATCGTAACAGTAGAGCGAATGGGGCAAAGGGACGACTTCCTGCATTCAGAATGTTGTAGCAAGAATTTGAAATCGGAGTGTGAATGAAACAAAGGTGACAGATCGATTTCAGCCACATCTATTTGTTGCATCGACTTGGAGATATCATCTATGGTCCATAGAGAATGATATGCTGCAAGAGAAAAGAGCGAAATGCGTAAGTGGTTCAATTTATATCCATGGATGAAAATGGATAATATATATGAAAATGTTTGTAAGTTTTGAATGTAATGATAACTGATACCTTGAATCATCACCTAGTAAGAATGAACTTCTCACAACATTGTTGGAGTCTCATCATTACTCTCATACTCACAATGACCTGCAGTGAGAGGACATTTTTGAGTTAAACTTCAATATAAAGGACGTGGCAACTAACAAAAGATAATGTTTTGAGGTATTGACATATCTATACAAACAGAGACAAAAGTTGAACTGATGATGCAATCGTACCCGTCAATGCTATTATATGGTAAAGCAACGTTCATATTGGAAGCATCAGGAATTCATAAGATAAAGCAAGGTTCCATACTATTGTCTGGCAACCTAGAAATGATGGTAATGAAGATCGAAAAATGAAATCATCTGCCAAAGTGAAAGAAATGTTTGTAAATAATTGGTGACTAAAATGAAACAAAAATTTAAATTTAGTGATGATTTTGAGAAAAAAATAGTTAGATGACCGAAACGGAACCACAAGAATAATTGAGTTGACTAATTATGTAATTTATCCTTGTACAATTTGACAGAGTTAATAATTTGGGACAAATGAGATAACAATTTAAATTTTAAAAGATAAAATATCACGAAAAATACTTCAAAAGATAACTCGATACAAATGACATACTTTAAGGGCAAAGAAGCATTTAAGCCCATAAATTATTTTGTAACCATATAATGTATACACTAAGAGACATTAAAAGATTTACGGGGTTTAAAAAGTTTGGAATGACAGATAAATATATATAAAAGTGAAAGAGTTGTAAACTATCACCCACATCTTAAGATATTTAAGATTTTTTAATTCAGAATGTCATCAATTTTTTTAACGAAAATTGATTAGTTTAGAACATATGAATAGTCGAATGATCATTTTGTAACTTTTAATAATCGAGAGACTTAATAAAGTAACATGCTATAGTCGAGAGACCACTTTGTAATTTTTAATAATTAAAGAACTTCATAACATATCGTCCTATAGTCAGAAAATTATTTGTGTATTTTACCCTAATTTTAATGTAAAATTCTAAAAGAATATTTTGTCTATTTGAAATAGTCGAAGATTTGTCCCTTGAACTCTGAGGAGAGTCGTTAAAAGATTCGTAAAGTCTTAAAGTTTTTTATATGCCTAAATTTAGATCCTGAGACATGTAGGACATAAAAAATGCTCTTAAAAAATCTTAAATATCCTAAGATGTGGGTGATAGTGTACAACTCTTTCACTTTTATATATATTTATGTATGCCATTCCAAATATTTTCAACCCTATAAATCATTTAACGTCTCTTACTGCATACATTATATGGTTACAAAATAATACTACAAATTTAATAATTAATACATTTTCTTTTATTTTATTCACTGTACTTTAAAAATTTTCAATTTAATAAATCAACTTTATACATTTAATTTATTTAAGCACTCAATCGTTTTCTCTGTTATAGATTACTTGCCTGGCTTATTTTAATATTAAAATCAGTTACTTTTTAAGACCTTTATCTTTAGGTTGAAAAGTCAACTCTCTCTATATCTCTCCCCTCCTTGTTTTTTCATGTTCAAAGAAATAAGCTGCAATGTATTTACCTCTCTTAACCTCAGTTGCTTCCTGTTCTTCTTTCTCAACTTCATCTATTTCAAGAGCAGCTGGTTCATGTGCCTCTTGAAATTGGGCTTTGTGTTAGAAATAAATTATTAGTAGTTAGTTTGGTTTTAGGTTGTGGAACAAAAGACTAAAGCCTGGAACAAATCAAAGATAACCAGATTCCTTGTTTAATCACCTTTGCTAATAGGATATATATATATATGAAATAAGATAATACCAAGCACTTCCAACCTCCTGGATATCCAGAACCAAAACTACTATGCATGTTTTCATATGTTTCCTCCAACATCCATTCTCGCAAGGCTCTGTCTCTTTTTACCTGCAATATTTCCATCCTCTGTACTGAGCAAAGTTTAAATCATTTTTTAAAAAGCGTAATGAAAAGCACCTGGAAATGAAGGAACCTATGAAGGGATCGGATTCGTCGGACCGGAAAGCTCGGAAAAACAATCACATGTTGTCGATGACAGGCCAACCCAAATCATCCGGCGAGAGAGAGTACTCCAAATCCCCCAACCGGGATTCATACACCCACAGATTCACGCTCTTCAACACCCATTTCAGAAACGCAAAGCCACCCAGTGTTGCCAAGGCCACAACCAACCACCTTGAACCCATGATTTCCGTTGCAGCAGAAAGAAGAAGAAGCCACCACTTGCTCTCAAAATGGAAGCCGTACGTTTTCACGAATAAAAAGTTATTTAATTGAGCCACATCATGACGCTGATAGAAAGTTATAAAGTTCAGTAATTAAATGGAAAAAAAATTTTAAAATACAGTGAGTAAAATAGAAAATAAAATAAAATTCAGTTACTAAATTTATAATTTACCCAAAAGTTAAATGGCACTCCAACAAAATCCTAAACTGATAAAATTAAGTCCAGTTCAGTTCATTTTGGGCTTTAAGTCTTCGACTTGAGTTCTGAAAATGTCTCTGATTCCAAGCTTCTTCGGCAACCGACGCAGCAACGTCTTCTATCCATTCTCTCTAGATGTTTGGGACCCTTTCAAGGACTTCACTTCCTCTTCGTTGACGACACGAACTCCTGAAACATCGGCCTTTGTCAACACACGGATCGACTGGAAAGAAACCCCTGAAGCTCACGTGTTCAAGGCCGATGTTCCTGGGCTCAAGAAAGAAGAGGTCAAAGTGGAGGTTGAAGACGACAGGGTGTTGCAGATAAGAGGAGAGAGGAAGGTGGAGAAGGAAGACAAGAACGACACGTGGCACCGTGTGGAACGGAGCAGTGGGAAGTTCATGAGGAGGTTCAGGCTGCCTGAGAATGCCAAGATGGATCAGATCTAGGCTGACATGGAAAACGGTGTGCTCACTGTCACTGTTCCGAAGATGGAAGTTAAAAAGCCTGATGTCAAAGCCATCGACATTTCTGGCTAAAACAATTGAAATTAAACCACAGATTGCTCTGTTTCAAAGTTATGAAATGTGTGGGTTCAGATGAGAGTTTTCTACTATGAAACTTATGTTTGTGTAACTTTGTTTTCTACTATGAAGCGTGTGGGGTGGGGTGGAGTGGAGTGAAGTTGTAAACTTTGCTATGTAGAAAATAAAAGAGTAATCTTTCTTGTTAATTCATTGAGCTCAGTGTTTATGAAATTATGGATTTTGTTTAGAACAGTAAGTCTTTGTTGATACTCAATAGCTCATTCGGCATATATGTGGAGCAAGTCTCCAGTGTTGTTTCTATTCGTGCAGCTTCGTAGTCTCAAATCCTTTACTATTATTCTACTGGTGGATGTGCCTCATCTCATGAAGCCTTTAACAGGGAAAGATGAGGAAGTAGCGTCAATGAACAGACATGGACAATGGTACTTCAACAAAATGCACTGAATAACGAAATGGACATTTGTTAAAATTAAGTATATAGAAAGGATAGTAAACATGGTACATTCTTTTGTATTACATCTATGGGGATCGTAAACATTACACGTGGACAACGAGAAGATGATAAAGAACAAGTACAACCTTAAATTGCAACCACAAACTTTGAAATTGGTGTCTGCTTATTTCTGATGGACAGAAATAGTACCCACGGCAGTTTTATAAGTATACCACTTGGAAATCCCCAGGAAAACCACAAAATTGGCTACGCTTAGAGCAGCCAATAGCCAAAAGAAGTGATCAACATGACCGAAATTAAGGTTGTCGGGTATCCACCCCAGCTTCCCATGTTTGGTAGTTACGCTAGTAACAATGGTAACAAGCAGAGAGCTCAAGTAGCTTCCCAGAGCCACGGTCGTTAACGACAGCGCCGAGCAGAAGCTCCGCATCGCATCGGGAGCCTGTTCGTAGAAAAACTCCAATTGTCCGATGAACGTGAAGACCTCGGCGCACCCTATGAGGAAATACTGCGGAACTTGCCAAAATATCGTCAATGGCATTTCCTTTACGTAATAGTAGTTGTGTTGTTTCACTATTTTCAGCCTCTCTTGCTCGAGGATGGCCGCTGCTACCATGGAGAATATCGATATGAAGAGTCCAATCCCCATCCGTTGAAGTTGTGTAAGGCCGTTTTTGTGGCCCGTGAATCTTCTAGCCATTGGGACGATGATACGATCGTAAACCGGCACCCAGAAGATCACACTCAGAGTGTCGAAGATCGAGAGTGATGCCGGTGGGATATTGAAGTTTGAGTGGCCGACTCGAGTATCCATTCTTTCACCTTGCAACGTGAATAAGTTGCCCATCTGGCTGTAAACCGTTGAAAAGATGATCCCCGAGGCCCATATGGGAAGCAACCGAATTATGGCTTTCAGCTCCTCCACCTGTGTGACTGTGCAAAGACTCCACGGATTTACTGAGCCCTTTAATCTATCTGTTTGAGTTTCCACTGCAGCTTTGTCGAAGAACCTGAACGTATTACATTCATAGTTGCATACTAAGTTATCAAGACTTGAGATGATTTTCGGATTTACGAGTATTTATTTGATTAAAGCCGAAGTGCTGACCTGAGATTTCGGGAGTGTTCGATCTTGCGGCTTCCTTTGATATTGGACTCTGCATCTGCTGTCTCATACAAAAGGGCACTATCATCAGGTACTGCAACATCATATTTGCTGATGGATGCCACCAAAACCTGACAGAGACGAGTGATCGGGCTTCCTCCGGGTATTTGGTTCCGATATAAACGAGTGCCCGAGAAGAAAAAACAAACGGCTATAGCCATGGCTATAGCAGGGATGCCGAAACCCCATCCCCAGCTCTTATTAGTTTGAATCCACACCAGTACAGATGATGCAATAAGAGCACCGATGTTTATGGAAAAATAGAACCAATTGAAGAAAGAACTCTTGTGTTTCTTCTCCTTTTCATCTGCATCGTCGAATTGATCGGCACCGTACGATGAAACACAAGGCTTGATCCCTCCTGTTCCTAGTGCTATCAGGTAAAGCGCTAGAAAGGTCATGGCACTTTGTGTCTCAGTCGGATCACAATTATCTTTCGCATAACATCTTGGCCTCATTCCGTGGACCGATGCAGACAATGCTAAAAGTGTCATTCCCTGTGCAAAAAAAGAAGTAAACTTTTCTTGTCACAATTGCAGGTACCGATTTCGGATTGGTTCTTTTACTGGTGACTGAGACTTACAAAAATATAGATGATTGAGAAACAGGCAATTGTCCAATATCTTCCTAGATAAGAATCAGCCAGAAACGCTCCAATCAATGGCGTAATGTAACATGTTCCACCCCAGTTCTGGTTATTTTTGGTGGCAGTCGCGCTTTGCTGGTTTAGTTGATGCTTGAAATAAAGCACCAAATTGGTGCTCATCCCATAGTATGCCAATCTTTCACACCCTTCATTTCCTGTTTTATAATATACCATAAAAAGCATCAAATCTCCATCTTACTATCAGAAATTTCAAGTTCATCTAATGGCTTCCATTGATTACCTATGATATATGGACAGGCTTTCCAGGTTCCGGTTTTCTTCTTATTTGCTGGATTTCCCTTGTAATCCACTGTCCCATCTTTTGTATATATATCATCTTCTTCCATTTGATTTCCAGAAATTTGTCTAAGCCTGTTGGAACATAGTTCGGAACTCACTCAGAAGTCTCAGAACTTGAAATTCAAGCCTTCAATATTACTCATGAAAGCATAGTTGTAATAGGGTTGTGTTCACATGCTATAAAACCTTGGGCATGAAGCAATTACATACACAAAAAGAGTAACATGATTACGATATGGACAAGTGTCTACAACTCTATGTAATAACAGAACATTGATGCATGAGAAGAAGGAACATTGGGTTTGTTTTCGTTACCTTGAGTTCCAAGCGACGATGGATTTAGTGATGGTTTCTTCTGATTCAAGTATTCTGAAATAGATAAGGGTTTGGGAAAATCTTTTATAGGATGACGGGAACAATGGAGGAGATGGTTTCGGTTGCAACTAGGGAACGTGTTGGGTTCATCATGGAGTTTTCTGTACTCTTTTATAATCAGCTCTTCATATGCTTCCAAAATCCAAACACAGCTTAAGCTGAGTTGCTTCTTCCACTTTAATTTATTAAAAATGTTGATTAATCCAATATTAGGACATATTTGGTTTTGATTAATCCAATATTAAGACATATTTGGACTGACTGCAGAAACAAATAGTAATGTGAACAAGAAAGCAGTCCCATGCCATTGCTTTGAATTTCTTGTCCAGGAAATGACAAGCTTGATGATGTATACAAACTTTCTTTCAAGCAACCAATTCATAATGAATTAGTTTCTTAATACTATTTTTAATCATTGTTATGAAAGCTATATTGCCTTTCACACGTACGCCAATGCCATCTTGAAGTCAACCTCATAATTTCGAGTATAATTTATAAATACGTTATGATGTATAAATGTAAACACAATTAATACAAATTTAATATTCATCTTTATAGGACAATTTATCTTGGAGTATCTTGTCTAGCTAGGCCTGCAGTCTTTTTCCAGAATAACTTGTGTAATCATACTTTGTTGAAGGCAATTAAACCCCCTTTTGGAACATAAAAAATGATGATATTTGCAAGGAAACATTCCCTTAGGGCTTAGGATTTGTTAATGCTGATAGTATCATATTAATGTACAGATAATTTTACAAATGTTGTGGATAAAGCAATGAAGCTAGAACATTTAATTTTCAATTCAAGGTTCTACTTTATACCTTAAGATGGACAAAATCGATATGTTCAAGATTTACATTATTTGAAAATTGCTACATAGATTCAACAGTGGAAGAGTTTCAGATTTTCTATGGTGGAAGTGTTGAGAATAGCTCTGATGCTGTCTCTGATGGCTTCTAGAAGTGTGATAGAATTGTGTAAATCGCCTCATTCTGCCACTGCATTGCTACCATTTCCCTCAGGTTCGACAGGTTTTACTGCTGATTCTGTTGGCTTTGATGCTTCCATGGAAACATTATGGTTAATGGCGTCATGATTATCCTCCTTCGACTGTGGTGAATCTATGATACAATCATGACCAGTCAGATTTTGTATTTTTTCACCATTTTTATGTTATTCAAGCTATTACTTTCTCCTGCTGAAGTTGATAGGCCCGCATAGGCTTTAGCTTCGGTTAATTTTTTGGTTCCATGTTTGGTAACTTCGACAAATTGAAGAAGACTAGTTTCCCGGAGACCCTTGATGGTTCCAAGATCTCTTTTCCAGTTACGTTAGCGGCAAATGAGTTGTTCACATTGCATATATGATCAACTTCTGTCTCTGATTTCTTAGAAATGTTCCAGCAAATGAGTCATTCACATTGTAGATACGATCAACATGTATGGGAAGAAGCAAATACCTCTTTTTCTCTGGTACTTTGAGGAATGCTTGCGCTCTCACTTCCATATGTGGTTACTTTCTTCACAGCTTCATGTTGATTTGATTTTTCAGGTCCCTGGATCGCCTCCAGTCCAACTGAGAGTTGGGATTCACCTTGATTTGCTGTTGACTTCACCTCTTCGTCCTTCTTAATGACTACTGAATTATTGATATTGACGCCAATGTTACCTTCCTCGGTGCCCTTCCTTGAAGAATTTGTAGGTTCCTTTAACAATTTAACAAGACAAAGACTTAGTAATCCAGCAGTTTACAACGTAGTTAATTGATTCAGAAATGTTCTGAAAGGTAAATATGTGAGTCAAAAACAGGCTGAAAGGTGTCCTTTAGGACTACCCCATAACATATTCATGCTCTATGTTACGCAGACTCTTTATTCTTTTCTATGGTACCCGTGTTTGACATTGGTGTCTTACATATATTTATACCAAACATTATATGGCTCCAAGACTCGTTAAATGTATTAAAAGAACGGATGCTCTCACACTGACCTCCGATGTTCCGAGACTGCTATTACCGGATAATTGATCCATTGAATTCTTGGCCAACTGCTGTGCATTTTGGGGTATGTTATAAGTTAAGTCTTCTTGTGGTTGCTCAACATCTGACAGAGGGCATTGCATCTTCCAGGACATTTTCTGGTAATACCGACCTCGAAATGTTATTCTCTATCAAGTAGTCTCTACTTTGAACTGCATTTGGTGCATTCCCAGTGTCATGCTTAGGTTCCAAGTTTCGAGTCTCTTCTTCAATATTATTTGAAGGATGGCTTCCCTCGATTTTTTACGA